ACTTCAACTAAATCAACATATTATATGTAACACGTTGAAAGTCAGACATTAAAAATATTTGTGGGTGCCTCAGTGACTCAGTCGGTTAAGCGTCTGCCTTTGGCTCAGGTCGTGGTCTCGGGGTCTTGGGATCAAGCCCCGCATTAGGCTCCAGGCTCAGTTTGGAGTCTGCATGTCTTTCTCCTTCTGTTCTTTCACTCTCTCTCTCAAACAACTAAGATCTTTAAAAAAATACTTCCATGAAAAATGCCACTCTTCTCACTAAAGTTTTGGGGGAAATATGGTTATTTTCTTATAAAGCTATGCAATATGTTATTTTTTTAAATATTTTATTTATTCATGAGAGATACAGAGAGATCGGCAGAGACATAGGCAGAGGGAGAAACAGGCTCCCTGCAGGGAGCCGGATGTGGAACTTGATCCCCGGACCCTGGGATCATGCCCTGAGCCAACGGCAGACCTTCAACTGCTGAGCCACCCAGGCGTCCCGCAGTTTATGTTAAGTAAAGTTGTTGTTGTTGTTTTTTTTTAAGATTTTATTTATTTATTCATAGAGACACAGAGAGAGAGAGAGGCAGAGACAGGCAGAGGGAGAAGCAGGCACCATGCAGAAAGTCTGCCGTGGGACTCGATCCAGGATCACACCCTGGGCTGCAGTTGGCGCTAAACCGCTGGTTTTATTATTATTTTTAAAATTTTGTTTTTCAGTAATATCTTCCCCCAACATGGGGCTTGAACTTAAAACAAGTTGCATGCTCTACTTACTGAGCCAGCAAGGTACCCCAGTTTTGTTTTATTTGTTTGTTTGTTTGTTTGTTTATTTATTATGTTTTTATTGGAGTTCAATTTGCCAACATACAGCATAACACCCAGTGCTCATCCTGCCCAAGTGTCCTCCTCAGTGCCCATCACCCAGTCACCCCAACCCCCCGCCCACCTCCCCTTCCAGTACCCCTTGTTCATTTCCCAGAGTTTGGTGTCTCTCATGTTTTGTCACCCTCACTGATATTTTCACTCATTTTCTCTCCTTTCCCTTTATTCCCTTTCACTAATTTTTATATTTCTCAAATGAATGAGATGATATAATGTTTGTCCTCCTCTGATTGTCTTATTTCACTCAGCATAATACCCTCTAGGTTCATCCACCTCGAAGCAAAGGTCCATCCACCTCGAAGCATTTGTCGTTTCTAATGGCTGAGTAATATTCCATTGTATACATATACCACATCTTCTTTTTCCATTTTTTTAAAGAGATTTTATTTATTTATTCATGAGAGACACAGAGTGAGAGAGGCAGAGACACAGGCAGGGAGCCTGATGTGGGATGATCCTGGGTCTCCAGGATCACGCCCTGGGCTGAAGGCGGCGCTAAACCGCTGGGCCACCTTGGCTGCCCTATCCATTCATTTTTTTTGATGGACACTGAGGCTCCTGCCTTAGTTTGGCTATTGTGGACATTGCCGCTATAAACATCGGGGTGCAGGTGTTCCGGCATTTCACTGCATCTGTATCTTTGGGGCAGATCCCCAGCAGTGCAATTGTTGGGTCATAGGGCAGATCTATTTTTAACTCTTTGAGGAACCTCCACACAGTTTTCCAGAGTGGCTGTACCAGTTCATATTCCCACCAACAGTGCAAGAGGGTTCCCCTTTCTCCACATCCTTTCCAACATTTGTTGTTTCCTGTCTTGTTAATTTTCACCATTCTCACTGGTGTGAGGTGTGGTATCTCATTGTGGTTTTGATTTGTATTTTCTTGATGGCCAGTGATGGGAGGATTTTCTCATGTGCTTGTTGTTATTTTTAAATGAATTAATAAGTATTTTTAAATTTTTGGGTTAAAATTTCTAGAATGGAGGCAGCCCGGGTGGCTCAGCGGTTTAGTGTCGCCTTCAGCCCAGGGCCTGATCCTGGAGACCCGAGATCGAGTCCCATGTCAGGCTGCCTACATAGAGCCTGCTTCTCCCACTGCCTGTGTCTCTGCCTCTCTCTCTCTCTCTCTCTCTCTCTCTGTCTGTCTCTCATGAATAAATAAATAAAATCTTTAAAAAAAATTTCTAGAATGGTTAATACTGACACATACAACCCATATAAACCAAACCTTTTTGGGGTCTTCAAAAATATTTGAGTAAAGAGTTCTTTTTATTCTTTTAATTTATTTATTCATGATAGACATAGAGAGAGAGAGAGAGAGAGAGAGAGAGAGAGAGAAGCAGAGACACAGGCAGAGGGAGAAGCAGGCTCCATGCCGGGAGCCCCACACGGGACTCCATCCTGGGACTCCAGGATCGCGCCCTGGGCCAAAGGCAGGCGCCAAACTGCCGAGCCACCCAGGGGATCCCCCGAGTAAAGAGTTCTTGAGACCAAAAACTGAGAACTACTGCCTGTAACAGTGTCATTGTCCGTTTAAATTGTTTTTTAAAGATTTGTTTATTTATATTTAGAAAGTGAGGGAGTTTGCAAGTGCAAAGGGGCAGAGGGAGAGGGAAGGATTCTCAAGCCAACTCCACACTGAGGCTGGAGCTGACACAGGACTCAATCTCACACCTCTGAGATCACCACCTGCGCTGAAACCAAGAGTTGGATGCTCAACCAACTGAACCACCCAGGAGCCCCCTTTTAACTTGTTTTTATTTAAATCAAGGTATGATTTACATGTATAGTAAAAGTGCTCAGATCTTAAGTGTAAAGTCCAATAAGTTTGATAAACAGAGGGGCGCCAGGCTGGCTTAGTCGGCAGAGCATACAACTCTTGATCTCAAGGTTTTTAAGTTCGAATCCCATGTTGAGTGTTGGGTGTAGAGATTACTTAAAAATAAAATGTTTTTTAAAAACCTCGGTAAACAGATACATACATGTATTTATCATTGGAGTGTGTCATACATTGGATTGTAACCAAACTCCAATCAGGCTATAGAACATTTCCATCACCCTAGAAAGTCCCCTTTTGCTTTTTTCCTGTCAGCCTTCACATCCTTACTCTGAGACAGTTTGGATTTCTATCACCAGAGCTTAATTTTGCCTGTTTTTCAGAGTTTCACACAAGCGGAACTACCCAGTATAGATTCTTTCATGCCTGGCTTCTTCACTGAGTATCAAAAATAAACACAGCTGGACATTAAAGTGGTGAATGGGATTTTTTTTTTTTAATTTTTATTTATTTATGATAGTCACACACACAGAGAGAGAGAGAGGCAGAGACACAGGCAGAGGGAGAAGCAGGCTCCATGCAGGGAGCCCGACGTGGGATTCGATCCCGGGTCTCCAGGATCGCGCCCTGGGCCAAAGGCAGGCGCCAAACCGCTGCGCCACCCAGGGATCCCGGTGAATGGGATTTTATTCAGTAACTACAGTAAGAGAAAGAGCTGAGCCCATTCCAAATTGCACAGAGGTGATGGAGCCTTTCAAGGGCGAATGCAGAAGGGGGAGAACAGGGGCTCAGGAGAGTCAGAGAAGTGAAACATTACAAATGGTTAGTCTGTGTAAATTCAATTAGGCCTACAGCATTTGGTAGCAGGCACTGACTATCCTCCCACAGGGACTGGGGGTCCTTCCTGATGATTACATTTCAAAGGAGTGGCTGTGGAGTCCTTGAGAAGGACCCTGCTGAGTTGTAAGAGATAAATATTCATTGTGGTAAGCCCTTTTTAGTAAATGCTCTGAGAAAGGGAGGTTAAGGGCCTATTGTCAGATTTTGGCTATAGCGAACAATAAATTCTGGTGGTGTAGCGCTTTCTCCAGCAGGCAGTCTAGCTTGGGCTGGGGTGATCCTAGGAACAAGGCTTATGCTGTTGGAAGCCCAGCTGTGCTAAAGTTTCACTCTTGGCACAGGGGTTTTGGATAGAGGGGTTACGTGCTGAGAGTTCTGCAGTTTTCATTTAATATTTTTGAGATTCATGTTAATGAGTGAGTCATTAGGTCACACTGTTTTATCACTGAGCAGTACTGCATTGTGTCTTTATCTGTTTTCTTATTGGTGGATACTCAGTTTTTAATTTTGGGGGAAAAGTTGCTGTGAGCATTCTGGACATATGCTTTCATTTTTCTAGGGTTAATGCCTGTCATTTTCTTTTAACTTGCTTATCATCTCTTCTGGTCCTTTCCTAGTGCCTAAAACATATTAAGTCCACAGAAATATTTTCGAGTGAATTAGAGAAGAATTTGAACTTTGAATACCACCGGAAGTCTATTATGGTGCAAAGTCTACTAACTTGGTGCCCAGGACTTCTTAATTCTAGGCCCAGCTTTGCCTCTAATCAACAGTAGTCTTTAACAAGTCACACGATCTCTCTGGATTTCAGATTTTTTTTCCTTTTTAAAAAAATTTTATAAAAATAATCTTTACACCCAACATGGGGCTTGAACTCATGACTCCAAGATCAAGTGTCCCATGTTCTATAGACTAAGCCAGCCAGGCACCCCAGGTTTTTTCTTGTGAGGGAATTACAATAAATGAGCTACATGACTTCCTTCTAGCCTGAATATTCTATGAGCCTAAGTGGGAAGGACTGATGGAAGTCCTGATACCAGTGAGGAATATACTGTGAATTGTTGAGATAACAGGACCAGGGATGCCTGGGTGGCTTAGTGATTGAGTGCCTGCCTTCAGCCCAGGTGTGATCTGGAGTCCTGGATCGAGTCCCACATTTGGCTTCCTGTATGGAACCTGTTTCTCTCTCTGCCTCTCTCTCTCTCTCTGTGTGTCTCTCATGAATAAATAAATAAAATCTTAAAAAAAAAGATTTAAAAAAATTTATTTATTTGAGAGAAAGAGGAAAAAGCAAGGAGGGTTTGGGGGATAGTGGAGGATGGAGAAGCAGACTCCCTGCTGAGCCAGGATCTCGACACAGGGCTCAATCCTAGGACTCTGAGATTATGACCTGAGCCGAAGGCGGACACCCAGGTGCTCCAAAGGATAATGTTCTTAATTATGAACTAGAGTTTTCTTGTGATTTGCAAGTCACGTTTAATGACCTATATATTTTTCCCTCTCTCCCTCAGATTTGGATCATACAGCAGATGTCCAGTGAGTACACCTGCAGTTTATGCCTTTGAAATCATGTTCTTAAGTAGGAAGTCTGATGTTTTAATCTTGATGTCCCTAGTTTTAATTCTCTCTTCCTATTTTGGTTCCTTTGCAACATGAAAATGATGGTTCGAAAGAACTCGGTTTCTGTGCCATTAAATTGATTGAGGCCTTTGGATTTGTATTATCATGCTGATCTTATTTGACTTTGCTGTCAAGTTTTCTCTCTTGCTGTAGATTTTATTACACAGGGCATGAATGTATTTCTTTAGGTTACATGCATGGGGAGATACTCTGGAGGAAGCATTTGAGCAATGTGCAATGGCCATGTTTGGTTACATGACAGATACTGGGACTGTGGAGCCTCTGCAAACAGTAGAAGTAGAAACCCAAGGTAAAATTTATTCACTGGGGAAGACATTGTCATACAAATGTGCAGGGTTCTACCAAATTTCAGTACATTTTCACAGTAAGAACAACAAAATTAATTATTAGCCTGTTCATCCTCTTTCAGCTAGCCTAAGAAATTCCATGCACTTTTAAATTCAAATAAATTTTCAGAGATAAGAGTTATTAAACATGGGACACCTGGGTGGCTCAGTGGTTGAGCATCTGCCTTTGGCTCAGGGCGTGATCCTGGGGTCCAGGGATCAAGTCCCACATCGGGCTCCCTGCATGGAGCCTGCTTCTCCCTCTGCCTGTGTCTCTGCCTCTCTCTCTCTCTCTCTGTGCCTTTCATGAATAAATAAAATCTTTAAAAATAATTTAAAAAAAGAATTATTAAACATCATACGATCATGATTCTTCTTGATCCTATGTAGGAGATGACTTACAGTCTCTTCTGTTTCACTTTTTGGATGAATGGCTTTATAAGTTCAGTGCTGATGAATTCTTCATACCCCGGGTAAGCAAGGATTTTTCTTTTTTACTGAGCAAATGGGTTCTTAGTTCAGATTTTAAAAGGACAAGTGATTAAGAGTAGAACACATGGTGCAAAACCAAGCCATACAGATACATAAGGTGATACTGATTTGCAGAAAACAGGGACTTCTTGGTTAACCTGACTTTGCCTGTGTATATACATTTCATAATATTACCATATATTTGTCACTAATCAGGATTGTTTTATAAGAATGCACCTGCTATCTTCACCCAAACTTTTTATGTCTCCCAAGTTTGAGCTATATTTATGACCACCCATATGTTCCTTTGTCCCATGTGAAGTTTAGTAGCTCTGCCATGTTGGCCTAAATTTAAAAATTCCTCTCAGTTTTCCTTAACATGAAAAAGGAAAAGCAAAATGGAGATTGCTTGTTGCCAGCCTTGAGAAGTGAACCGCTCTCCAACATCATTGTTAACCTAACACACAGGGCCCTCCTGGCTTCTACAACCTCTCCATTCTCTCCCTTCCCAGCTCCACTACAGACACTCTTCTAACTGGTCACTTGTCCTACAGAGTTCAGGAGCCTACAATGTTATATTGAAATGGGCTGTGAATGATTAAAATCGTGTATCATCCTATTCTATTTTACAGAGAAATTTCTTGACTTGTGTTTTTAGATTGTATGTTTTCCAAGAATATTTCCCTTGAATATGTAAGAAAAAAACCTTATTTCCTTGGAATATATTTAGTTTGTTATTCTACTTAAAATTTTAGTTTTCTTTGCTTCAGAGAAGTTGTATGCTGTGATTTTCTAGGAAAGGGGATAACCTAGATATATTTTTTTGCAAATTATATTTGACTTACAATATTATATTAGTTCAGGTGTACAACATAGCGTTTTGACAATTATTAGATATGTTTTAGTGGATGGTCTGTTATGAACACTTTTTAAAATTAAATGTTTTTTTCCTTTTTAGGAAGTGAAGGTACTTCAAATTGATCAAAGAAATTTCAAATTACGGTCAATTGGGTATGTTTTGAAAATCTTTTAAGTAGCAAGTCATAGAAGTCAGGAAAGTTGTTAAAATTCTTCACTGAACTGGGATCCCTGGGTGGCGCAGCGGTTTGGCGCCTGCCTTTGGCCCAGGGTGCGATCCTGGAGACCCGGGATCGAATCCCACATTGGGCTCCCGGTGCATGGAGCCTGCTTCTCCCTCTGCCTGTGTTTCTGCCTCTCTCTCTCTCTCTGTGACTATCATAAATAAATAAAAATTAAAAAAAAATTCTTCACTGAACCTAGTAGGAAGACAGAAATGTTAAGTCAGAGGTCCAGTGGCATCTTCAGGTTAAGCTCTAAGAGCAAGGGCTTTGGTCCTCAGCTTTGGAGGATTAGAAATTTGTTAGAATGAAGTTGATAATTGGTTCTTGGACCTGATTCCCATCTTATTGATTTTTAGCGTAAAAATTTTTTGCATGAAGCCTGGCTTGGTGACAGGAAGCATTGATGATGCATCCTTCTCCTCACACCTAGACTCTGTTCAAACTGGCTCTTTCTGTTAACAAATTACACTTTTCCTTCCAGAGTTTGCAAACACTCGGTTAGATCTCTTTGATAGGGCTTGGTGTTTCCCAAATCTTTTCAGTCACTTAAAGCTATCTTTTAGTTATTTCTACATAAAGCCTATTTTTTCTCACTTTATGTTGAAGTTGTTTCTTTTTGTGAAGCAAGGTCTTTTATTCTTTCCCTCTCCTTTTTTCTTTATTGTTTAATGGGTAAGGAATCTGGCTTTTCCAACCATTTACTTAGCTAATAAATGGTTGAACAGAATTTTAAAGCTTTGTTCTTTTGGGGCACCTCAGTGACATAGTGGCCTGAGTGTCCTGACTTGTTTTCAGCTCAGGTCATGAGCTCAGGGTCATGGGATCCAGCCCTGTTTTGGGTTCCGCGCTTGGTACAGAGTCTGTGTGGGATTCTCTCTCCCTCTCCCTCTGTACCCCCCATCCCCCTGCTCTCTCCCTCTTCTCTCAAATTTCTAAATTAAAAAAAGTGTTGTTTGTTCTGCTACCACTACTGCTTCTCCTACATGATCTCTAGTCACATTCATGTTGAAGGAAGAGAAGATACTTATCCGAGGTTCTAGGAGAGTACCTTTCTAGGGCCTTCTATATACAGGCCATGGACATTTCCTGAAAAGTTATAAAATGCAAACCAATTTAAGACCATATTACAGTATGTAGTATTTTGCCTCTGCAGTACTCAGACCTGCTTTCTCCAATGCCTTGAGTACAGTGAAAATTTTGGACGTGTTACTCTATAATGAAACAATAGTCATTAAGCAATGTTTATTGAGAATCTACCACATGCACACTATACTAGGGCTTTTATTTTTTTTAATGGCAACCATCAACCTTGTTGAAATAGCTATAGCATATAAATCCCTGAACAGCTGTATTCACTGACAATCAAACTGAAATTTATAGCTTCCTTATACCCCTCCCATCTTTTTGGGCTTTTTCATATCTTAACCACATTTACAAGGCTCATTTTAAAATATGGAAAGGAGGGCAGGCCGGGTGGCTCAGCTGGGCAGCCTGGGTGGCTCAGCGGTTTAGCGCCACCTTCAGCTCAGGGTGTGATCCTGGCGACCCAGGATTGAGTCCCACATCAGGCTCCCTGCATGGAGCCTGCTTCTGCCTGTGTCTGTGCCTCTGTGTGTGTGCGTGTGTCTCCCATGAATAAATAAAATCTTAAAATAAATAAATAAATAAAATATGTAAAGGGTAAATAAATATTAAATCTTAGAAGTCTTAATCATTTTCTAATTTTCCTTCTCAAGGTGGGGAGAAGAATTTTCACTGTCCAAGCACCCTCAGGTATGTTTTTAAATCCAGCCATTAAAAATATTTTATACTTTCTTATCAAAAAGTCAGTACATGATGGTAAACTTCAGTGAGTTCTAATAAATTGGTGTAAAGCCGTAAGTCTCCTCAGACTTCTCTGACCATATTATGTTTAAACACTGATTTCACACATCTGATTTGATGGATTAGGTATCAGTACTTGAGTTCTAGGGTCAAGTTTGTTACAGATTTTTTTTTAAAGATTTTATTTATTTATTCATGAGAGACAGAGAAAGAGAGAGAGGCAAAGACACAGGCAGAGGGAGAAGCAGGCTCCATGCAGGAGCCCGACGTGGGACTTGATCCTGGGTCTCCTGGATCACGCCCTGGACTGAAAGCGGCCCTAAACCGCTGAGTCACCCGGGTTGCCCTGTTATAGATATTTTGTGGGACTTAAAAGACCCATTGCCTTTGTGAGCTTCTGTATCTCCTCATGTATTAAAGGTGTTGGATTAGGGATACCTGGGTGGCTCAGTGGTTGAGCGCACAGGGTGTGATCCTGGAGTCCCAGGATCGAGTCCCACGGGCTCCCTGCATGGAGCCTGCTTCTCTCTCTGCCTGTGTCTCTGCCTCTCTCTGTGTCTCTCTCATGAATAAATAATTAAAATATTTTTTAAAAATAAAGGTGTTGGATTGGATGTTCTCTAAAGTACCTTCTGCTTTCTGTGCCATTTCCAGATTCTGTGTTTGCTGCCCTGTGTGGCTTTATTCTATACCAGTTGAATCTGCGGAAGAGGGGCAGGCACATTTTTTTTTTCTGTAAAGGGCTGGATAATGTCTGAAGCTTTGTGGGACAAGAGTGACATGTGCAATATCCAGCTTCTCTATTGTACGTAGCTCTACAGCCACCACAGACAATACATAAATGAATGAATGTGGCTGTATTCCAGTAAAACTTCATGGACATTGAAATTTGAGTTTCATGCCATTTTCAAATGTCATGAGAGTCTTTTGTGCCCCTCCCCCCCATTTAGAAATGTAAAAACCATTCTTAGTGTGCAGGGCTGTACAAAACTAGGTGTCAGGCTGGATTTGGCCATGATTTGTAGTTTGCTGACCCCTGTGTTTAGGCCAAGGAGACCTAAATTAGTTGAGGGTGACTGGGGAGTCCTGGATGCTTCTAGTAGCTGCAGTATGATTTCTCTAAGCACAACATAATGAAATGAAGCCTGGTGAGGGAACCTTGGAAGAGAAGCATAAATAGAAGAGAAACCAGTAGAAGGGGCCATGTGAATTTTAATAGAAAAGACATAGTGAAGTTTGCTTTTGAACCTATTATGTTTGAAGTGTATATTATACATCTACATGGAGATGTCACATACGAGGCACTTGTCTGTAGGATGACTTATTCAGGAGATAGGTAGATCTGTAAATTTCAGTCTGGAAGCCAACCCGGAATAGGACGATATTTATAGCCATAGGACTAGGTATGATTATCAAGGAGGGGGGAGGTGTAGATAAGAGAGAATATAGAGAGGACTGAGCTTTGGGGCACCAACTTTGGAAGGGATGGAGCTAAAAAGGAATAGAGAAGGAAAGCCTCATGAGGGGGTGCAAAAGAACAGGGGTGCCCTAAACCCAGATATCTCATGCTCTTGAGACTGCTCAAAGGCTGAGTGAGATGAGAATTGACAATTGACTATGGATTTACTTAATCAGTAGAAGGATGTATGGGTCAAAGAGCAAATGAATGAGAGATAGGGAAGTGGAGGCACTATATTGAGACAGTTCTTTCAAAGAGTTTGCAGAAAAGGGGAATGTGTGGATAGAACACTAATAGCCAGGGGCACCTGGGTGGCTTAGTTGGTTAAGCTTCTGCCTTTGGCTCAGGTCATGATCCCATGATTGAGCTGTGGATCCAGTTCCCTGCTCAGCAGGGAGCTTGCTTCTCCTCCCTCTGCCTCTCCCCCAGCTTGTACCTCTCTCTCTTCTCACTCACTCTTGTCTCTCAGATAAGTAAATAAATCTTAACAACAACAACAACAACAACAAAACCAGTAACAGCCAGAGGGGAACGTGGTTGGGAAAGGAGAAGTTTTTTGTTTTGTCTTGTTTTACCTAGGGGGGAGGTTTTGTAGTACCAGTGTATGCTCTGTGGAAGTGATCTAGGAACTTGGGGGCAAATTGATCATGCTGGAGAGGGAGAGAATAATTTCAGAGCAGAGACCTTAAGTTGGCCAGGGGGGTGTGGGGTAGTGTGTTCAGGTTCAGGGGTCAGCCTTCTGATTGGAGCAGGGACGGACCATTCATTATAACAAGAGGTGAGGAAAAAAAATAACGAGAGGTGAGGCTAGTGTGAGTACAGATGCAGGAGATGGTAGATTTGATGGGGGAAGGTGAGCCAGTTTTTGCCCATTGCTTCTGTTTTCTCTAGGAGGCATAGCCAGAAGGTGAGAATGAGAGAGGGATGCTAGAGGTGAAGATGGAAAGTAATTATTTCAGGGACACCCTGGTGGTTCACGGTGGAGTGCCTGCTTTTGGCTCAGGGGGTGGGATCCTGGAGTCCCGGGATCGAGTCCCATGTTGAGCTCCCTGCATGGAGCCTGCCTCTCTCTCTGTGTCTCTCATGAATAAATAAAATTTAAAAAAAAAAAAAGGAAAATAATTGTTTCAGAGAACGAGAAAGTGAAGTTAGCGGCAAGCGTAGGATGATTGGTCAGTGCAGAGTACCCCTTTGAGACTGTGGACGTAATGTAAGGTGCTACCCCTTAGCATGGTGTGTGCTGCCATAGGCAGAAAGTTGAATTTGATTTAGGTTGTGGTTTCACCAGGTGATTATGGCAGAGAAGTCTTCAGATTTCTTTTGTGCCACAGAGCTAGCAAGTGCTAGTCACCTAGCACTTGCCTGATACATTTTACGCTGCATGGAATTATTATAGATTGTCTTCTAGAAGGAAGGAACCAAGAGAACATCTAGTCCTGTAGTTCTTTCTAAACCTGGGCTTAGGAAGGGGATTGTGATGTATCAGACATGTGGAGAGAGAGCCCCATGAGGTGAAGTGAGTAGGCAGCTGAGGAGGAGAGAGGAGTCTGTGCTCCTAGGGCCCAGGTCACACTGTAAGTGGGAGGTCTCAAGAAGGAGGCCTAACCCAGACAATAGGAAAACCTTGGCCTCCTCTGCTCACCCCATTTGGTAAATGGAAAAGGATGCTGGAGGGGTCAGCCAGCCTCTGTAGCCAGGTGGAAACAAAGCCAGGCTCAGAGCTCCAGCTCCTACCACGCACCAGTGCAGGGGTTGCATCGTTATCAGATGATTGTGGCACGCTGTACAAGTAACTACTTGTTTCATGTGGGTTTTTAGTTTTTCAGAATAATAGCAAAATTTGGCCTGCCATTTGTTGCTAGAGTTAATGATTCTGATTTTGATGTTCACCTTTTCTTGTTTTTTCTCTCACCCTATCTTTAGGGAACTGAAGTCAAGGCAATAACCTACTCAGCAATGCAGGTCTATGATGAAGAGAAGCCAGAAGTTTTTGTGATCATTGACATTTAAGATACCAAAAAACAAAACCAAAAATCCCCTCTGTGACCCCTTTCTGATGAAGAACTGTTTTTTCTCTTCCTTTTTAGAAGATCCCATGGTAGAAACTTTACAGTGTCTGTTGATGTATGGAGATTTGCAGAACAAAACTTTTAAAGTGTGACTGTCAGAAATGGAACATCAAGTTGTGGCCTTGGTCCATGCTACCCAAATATTCAGACTTTAAAGAATTCTTCAGGTGGCAATTATGGCTTCTCATCTCTTAGTCTGTAGCAGCAGGTGCTCAGACCCTTCCAGTGGAATGTCTGGTCCCAAAAGGGACCAGTAATCTAAGTAGCAGCCCAAGAGACTCTGAATCTGCTACACTCTTAGGGAATCTAGTTTGAGAAAAATAATAATAATTTGAGAAATCCTACTACCAAGACTTGGCTTTTTTCCCAAATTGGTTAACACATTTATTTTTTTCTTTTCTTTCTTCTTTTCCTCTTTTTTCTTTTCTTTTCTTTTCTTTTCTTTTCTTTTCTTTTCTTTTCTTTTCTTTTCTTTCTTTTCTTTCTTTTCTTTTCTTTTCTTTTCTTTTCTTTTCTTTTCTTTTCTTTCTTTTCTTTCTTTCTTCTTTTCTTTTCTTTTTTAAGGTGGGGCCTGAATTCACAACCCTAAGCTGAGATGGAATCAGATGCTTAGCCAAGTAAGTCACCCAGGTGCCCCAACACATATATTTTCAATATATGCACTAAGAGAGGTTGTGTTTTAGATTCCTGTCGGATAGAGCCATCCTGTATTCCCTTGATTTTTTTTTCTTTTTAAGATTTTATTTATTTGAGAGAAAGAGCGCACAACCATGGGGAGCTGCAGAGGCTGAGGGAGAAGCAGGTTCCCAGCTGAGCAGGGAACCTGACACTGGGGCTCGGTCCCAGGGCCCCAGGACCATGACCTGAGCCAATGGCAGACACTCAACCATCTGAGCCACCCAGGCACCCCACCACTTGATTTTCTGAGAAGAAATAATTGTAGTTGAACAATTGGAAGACTTCTCTAGAAAGAGTTCTGAGTTTTTCTCATTTTTAAAGCACTAATATATGGACATTATACTGTTTTCCCATAAGCAACCTTAAATACCCTTGCAGATGGGCCCTTCCAACATGTAACTTTATATCAAAGCCAGTATATTTATATAGTTAAGGAAATAATTGTTCTACATTTCTTTGTTTTTTAAAAATTACCTAAGTTCTTTTTTTTTTTTTTAAAGATTTTATTCATTCATGATAGAGGCAGAGACACAGGCAGAGGGAGAAACAGGCTCCACACTGGGAGCCCGACGCAGGACTAGATCCTGGGACTCCAGGATTGTGCCCTGGGCCAAAGGCAGGCGCCAAACCGCTGAGCCACCCAGGGATCCCTAAGTTCTTTGTTGTTGGAAAACCATGTTAAAGTGATCTGAATTTTTCAAAATAGGTAACTTTAAAAAAATGAAACGTCTTTTGTTTGATTTGCAACATTATTCTTTTCTCTATTGGCTGTTTGCTGCATTCTTTGTTGCCACTACAAGAGTTTGCAAAGTTGCTATTTATTCACACATACATAGAAAAGATTGCCACTGGGTGGTGCCAGATATCATTATAGCCTGCTAAACTTGACCTAAAAGGAAGGGATGGTCTGTGAGCTTTACTAAGTGTTCTGAGCCCTGTGATACTTTTCTCTGGGTATTTAACAGAAAGTAGAGGTAATGGAGACTAGACCAAGAGCCATGGTTTAAATAGTAACTCTTAAAATTAATACATACCTTTTTTTAGGATGAATTTCCAGGCTGACATAGGGCTATCTTCATGAACCCCTTTGAACATCATGGGCTATTTGGGGCATTGATTGTGAAGCTGAGCAGTGGGATATTGTGAGTCCAGTAGAAGAGCTGCAACCAGATAGGAAGAACTCTTGGGATGTATTAAGCCAAGTAGGACACAAACTTGACTACGAAAAAAAGTAGCCACACCTCTTACCACCAGGGCTGTATAATGGGGTTCAGTAAAAGCAAGTCAAATGTAACTATGCAATACAAATTATATTCCTTTTCATTTATAATAAATTTGTAATTTTAAAAAATTTTATGTGAATTTTAAAATGCAGTTTGTATTTTTAAATATTGCCAAAATGAAGATAACTGAATAGAAGGAAAATGAGTGTTGCCCTCTGTGGAGGCATTTTTTTTTAAGATTTTATTTATTTATTCATGAGAGACACAGAGAGGCAGAGACATAGGCAGAGGGAGAAGCAGGCTCCATGCAGGAAGCCTGATGTGGGACTCAATCCTGGAACTCCAGGATCACGCCCTGAGCCAGAGGCAGAGACCTGAGCCAGAGGCAGAGAAGCTCAACTGCTGAGCCACCCAGGCGGATATCCCTCTGAAGGGATTCTTGACTTAACCAGCAGCAGGCGCTTTGTTTATTTTTGCTTATTTACTGAGATGGTTGCACCAGGCTCTCACCAGACTCTTCGGCTAGTTTCAGTTATGTGGCTTGGCCTTGGGAACACATTTTTCCCCTTTGCAAAGCAATTCCCCCACCCTGTAACATACCCACTCATCCTCACTTTTGTCTCTTATTCTTCTGTCTGGGCTATCTTTTCCTTTTCCAAAAACATGAACACACATTCACTGCCCAGGGAGTCAGGGAGTAATAAATTAACGCATGTGTGGGTGTTTGGCTGAGGATTTATGCCGTGGCTAAGGGGGCAGCTACCTCTCAGCTTGCGTCCTTATTGCTAATGTGAATATAGGCCCACTGTTGGCAGTTTTTGTGACACTCCAAAATTGAGATACTCATATGAAAGCTCCCAAATTTGTTGGGGAAAAAAATCCATCATGGGTCATCACGGAGTACAAATTCTAGGTGGGCTGAATCTCATCCACAGGTTGCTGGTCAGAAAGCTCTGCTTTAAAGCACAGCTTAAGGGCAGCCCCGGTGGCGCAGTGGTTTAGCGCCGCCTGCAGCCCGGGGTGTGATCCTGGAGACCCAGGATCGAGTCCCACATCAGGCTCCTTGCATGGAACCTGCTTCTCCCTCTGCCTGTGTCTCTGTGCCTCTCTTTCTCTGTGTCTCTCATGAATAAATAAATAAAATCTTTAAAAAAAAATAAAGCATGGCTTAAGTCACATTTTCTCGAAGCCTTCCTAACCATTCCAGCCCTCAGTAATTTTTAAACTATGCCTCCCTAGTTACCTCTAAAGATTTGAAGGCTTTATTTTATAATTGTTCAGTGTTTGGCAGCCTTGTCCCTCTGAATAGGAGCGTTCCCAGATGGCATATAATAATAGATGGTCAGTCACTACCTAACAGCCCCTGGGCTAAGCATGTTGTAGCTACATCAAATTCAGGCAGAAGCTAGGGGCAGCTCATTGAGTAGATCTACAAGGGCAGATCCGAAGTCACAAGCCTCAATTTCTAGCCCTCCATCTGCTCTCTGACGTTGGACCTACTTCCTTGTCTATGTATTAGAAATGCGAGGGATTCCTTTTTTAAAAAATATTTTAGGGATCCCTGGGTGGCGCAGCGGTTTGGCGCATGCCTTTGGCCCAGGGCGCGATCCTGGAGACCCGGGATCGAATCCCACGTCGGGCTCCCGGTGCATGGAGCCTGCTTCTCCCTCTGCCTATGTCTCTGCCTCTCTCTCTCTCACTGTGTGACTATCATAAATAAATAAAAATTAAAAAAAAAAAATTAAAAAAAAAAATATTTTATTTATTTGACAGCACAAGGAAGGGGAGGGGCAGAGGGAGAAGCAGGCTCTTTGTAGGGCAGGGAGCCTGATGTGGGACTTGATCCCAGGACCCTGGGATCATGACCTGAGCCCAAGGCAGATGCATAACTAATTGAGCCACCCAGGTGCCCACCAGTAATTCTTTAATTCATTTCTGGTTCTAAGTTTCTATGATCCTGTAATACTGTATTTTAAACAACTGAGCTGAGAAGTTTCTGTTACTGAAATAGTTTTTCGTTGAGCCTGAAATGTCCAAATCACACCATCAGCATCTTCTCATTCACGCCAGTCAGATGGCCTTTGTCATGAGTACAATGGTGTGTCTCATGGCAGTGGCTTTCCAGGAAAGTCATTGTGGCATCGTGACCTTTTCTCTCTGATGCTTCTTCCTCCAAGCCGGAGAGGTGGTTATGTGTCCCTATGGCCCACTCTTGCTAATTTTGTTTCCACCTTGCTAATACCACTTGGACTTTGGAAGAGAATGCTCAGAAAGGGTGGGAAAAGAACAATTTAAAACCTCTTCAAAGTGGGGCATGTGCACCAAGTGAACTATAGTTCTGACCCCTAGCTTCAGAAGGCTGGAGGGTTCCCAGATGGAGATTTATTTCTTCACCTAAGAAACCAGAAAACAGTTCATTAAATGGTTGGGAGATGTTCTGCCCATTTTAGAGATGGTGTGACTGAGGTCCAGAGAGAAGGTCTAAAGGGACAGTGCCCCAAGTCCCAGAGCCCAGAACTTTTCAAAGGATCTTCTCCAAAACTTTTTCCAGAGCAAACACTACAGAATTTAGTGACTATAGTACTTTATCAGTGTTGTTTCCCATCTAATGTACTATGAATCGTTTTTATTTTCTTACCTATAAAATGAATAATGTCAAATTCTGGGCGTACAAGAAAGTACTCTTAGAAAGAAGGACAACATATTTTGTCATAAACACATATTCAGGATTCATCTGTACAAAATACTTTCCCATGTGCTTTCAGTATGTTGCCCATTTGTCCTTCCAGTATTTCTGTATGTGGTACACTTATCCTGCATTTTACAAATAAGGAAATTAGTAACATCTTAAGCTACTTGGCTCTTAAGGGACAGATTTGGGACTTTGTTTATTGTCTTTATACAGTATCCTTTAATACATAACAAATCACATTTATGTTCTTTTGTTCTTTTGATCCAGGTAATAATTCTGTGAGGTTAGTATAGCAGCTGTTACTCATGTTTTATATATAATGAGACAATGTTTGGTTGATATTTGTAAGATACAACCCAAGAAAAGATGACTGACAAAGATTGTGCCATTTTCTCTGGCACTTACTCTAAAAGCTCAAAAGCTAATGCTCTTTAGCAAAAACATTCTTTTTTACTTTTTTTTAAAGACCTATATTCAAAGGGAGGAGGAGCAGAGAGGTAGGCAGAGGGACAAGCAGACTGCACTCAGTGCAGATCCTGACCTAAGGCTTGATCTCATGATTCTCAGATCATTACCTGAGCCAAAATCAATAGTTGGATGCTTATGGGACACCTGGGTGGCTCAGCAATTGAGCTGATGCTTAACTGACTGAACCACTCAAGCACCCCAGAAACAATTGAACTGTAGAGAACATTTGTGTAGGACAAGACAGTAAAGAATAGTGGATATTATTTCCTCTCCCTGCCAAATAAATACACAACTGTGTGTGTGGTGTGTGTTTGTTTTAGGTAGGCTCCATGCTGGGTGTGGAACCCAATATGGGGCTTGAACAACCCGGAGATCAGGACCTGACCTAAGAACAAGAGTCCTATGCTTAACCAACTGAGCCACCCAGGTGCCCCAATGTGTGTGCTTTTAAAACTGCTTCTCAGTATAAACGTTAAGGACATTATAGAGTTAGATTCCAATGTGGTCCCTGTCATTCATGAACTGTATGACTTTGGGAAATGTCTTCAACCTCTTCTAGGCTTAGTCTTCTCAACTCTAAAATGAGGAGGATACTACTGTCACAACCAGGATACTGCGCAATGGTCCAGCATTGCTAGAGTAGTTAAGAACTTTATTTTGTAAATGAAGAAAAAGGAGTCATTTTGGAATGATACTTGGAGCTGTGTAATTTAAACAACTGTGCTAACGTTATTTTGAGATATGGGGTATGTAGTTTAATAGCACAAATTGGAGCCAGATCACTGGGGGTTGAGTCCTGGTTCTGCCATTTACTAATGTCCACTTTGAACACCTTGCTTTACCACTCTGTGCCTTAATTTTAAGTGATAATGATAGTACTTGTAGGGTTGTTGAGAGGATTAAACAAATATACACATAAAGCTCTTAGGATAACACCTGACCAAAGTAAATGCTCTATAAGTGAGGGCTAGTATTACTTTGACAAGCATAAATGCCAACAGCTCCCTACTCTTTCTCCTTATTAAATCAAAAGAAAAAAAAAACACGTCCACAGAGTTTGGTTAGGGGGCCGCAGCCAGCCTAGAAACAATCCTGGTAAACAGTGCTATTCTGCTAAGGTCTGTATTTATGAAGAAGGGCAAAAAAGCCACTTCTTTCTGCTGCTTCCTCTTCAGTTTTCTCTTTAGACCTCTTCCTTTCATGCTTCTCTGCTCCAGGTTTTTCCTGTTTAATGTTTTCTTTCTTCCACATACGAATTGAGCAAACATATTCAAAAACTGTCCACATATCTTTATGCCAAACCAGCTGCCCTTATTTTAAGGAGCTCCCTCCTATGTGTCCCTTCCTGATCCCCTTGTAGCTCACAGTATTACATATTTAAGGGTGTAATGGGAAGAGAGATGAACAAGTTATAGGGCAATTTTGTTTCTGCCTTTACCTTTGTTCCCCCTGGCGCCTTCAGAGCCCTCTTGGGACCAGTGCAGCCCACTGTGACCCCACTAGCTAATTTCACTTAATTCACCAGTTCCTACCTTTGATTTTTTTTTTACCCTGATTGTTTTTATAACATTAGTGAGATATAATTCACATACTATACAATTTGCCTACTGAAAATGTACCATTCAGTGGTTTTTAGTATATATCCACAGTTGTGCAATTGTCATCGCAATCAATTTTAGAACATTTTTGCCCCAAAAGAAACTCACTACTATTTTAAGCACTCCCCACCTCTGCTGCCTCCCAGCCCTAGGCAACCACAAATCTACTTTATGTTCTTTAGATCTGTCTATTCTGTCGCCCAGATTCTTACTTGCCAACCCTGTCCTTTTTCTTTTTTTAAATGTTTTATTTATTTGAGAGAGAGTACAAGTGGGGTGTGGGAGGAGTAGCAGGGAGAGGGAGAAGCAGGCTCCCACTGAACACAGAGCTGGATCACGACCTGAGCTGAAGACAGATGCCCAACTGAGCCACCCAGGTACCCTGGTCCTGTCTTTTTTCAAAATAACTGGAAATTCACATTTCAGAAGCTATTTGGACTCATCCCACCTGCTTGATCCCAGCTTTACTGGGTTCTCTTAATTCCAAAGATACTGGAATCCCTGGGTGGCTTGGCGGTTTGGTGCCTGCCTTTGGCCCAGGGCGCGATCCTGGAGTCCCGGGATCGAGTCCCGTGTCGGGCTCCCGGCATGGAGCCTGCTTGTCCCTCTGCCTGTGTCTCTGCCTCTCTCTCTATGTCTATCATAAATAAATAAATAAATCTTAAAAAAAATTCCAAAGATACTTAGACCATGTTCTAAAAATTCGGATACATTGCTGCATAAAGCTCCGAAGTCAATATATGAAGTCACAACTCCCCTTTAAATTGTTCCTTAAGGAAGGGAACTGGCTTCTGGTTCTATTATACACCTTATTTCAACCTTCTATCTTTAGTGGTCTGTTTCAGTGACACTTAATCCAGGTCTTCCTGGATTCCAAAGCTCTTGGCGCCATGCTCCTTAGGAAGAGATCCTTAATGTCATATTCTCATATCCAAATTCCATATTCCTTATTTCTATCTATAGCGCCCTTAGCCTCCCACTCCCCAGACTGCAGCTGTCTTGGATTCCTCTTAGACTCCCATTCCCTGCACTCATTCCTTAGTTATATTGATCAACCCCCTTCTCCTTTCATTGTGTCTCTTAATTGTGTCTCTTGTGTCCTTTCCATTCGAGGCATAGCTCAAAATCATCTTTATCTTTTCTTTTCTTTTTAAATCAGCAGATGTGGGGCACCTGGGTAACTCAGTTGATTAGGCCTCTGCCTTCAGCTTGGGTCATGATCCCGGTGTCCTGGCATGGAGCTCCACATCGGGCTCTCTGCTTGACAGGGAGTCTGCTTTTCCCTCTCCCTCTGCTGCTCCCCCTGCTTATGTTCTCTTTCTGTGTCAAATAAATAAAATCTTAAAAAGAAAAAGTCAGCAGATGTTATTTGTATGTTGGGATAAATGACGACTTTTGTTTTCTGTATTTGTTTCTGTGTAAAAACAAACATGATACTATTTGAATTCCATCTAGAGATCTTTGTGCTTGGCGGAGGCTGCAAATGGTAGATATTAAAATAGCTGTTGAGGGCTTCTGGCCCAGGGCCTGATCCTGGGGTCCCAGGATCGAGTCCCACGTTGGGCTCCCTGCATGGAGCCTGCTTCTCCCTCTGCCTGTGTCTCTGCCTGTGTGTGTGTCTTTCGTGAATAAATAAAATCTTTTTTAAAATATATATATTTTATTTCTTTATTCATGAGAGACACAGAGAGAGAGGCAGAGACACAGGCAGAAGGAGATGTGGGACTCGATCCCAGGTCTCCATGATCACACCCTAGGCTGCAGGCGGCGCTAAACCGCTGCGCCACCCGGTGGCACGCTGCCCGAATAAATAAAATCTTAAAAAAACCAAACTGGTTTTAAAACCAAAAAGACAGCTGTTGAATGAACAAATGGATAAACTTCCAGCACTTGGTACTTTCTACCTCACACTGTTACTGGCCCTGCGTACATCTCCCTACCTGCAATGTCAAGTTCCTCCATTCATTTCATTCCCCTGCTCTGCACGTCACAAGGTCCCCCAAGTCATTTAAAATGCCTAACCTTCCAATGTGTACCTAAAGGTAGGAGCCAGGGGCTCTGCTGCCAGTTTTCTTCTGGAAACTTCCCAATTCGGGTGTTGGCCAAGTCTTTTCACTCTAAGGCTGTTTTATCTGCCATAATAGCACCTACCTCAAGGCTGGCACGTTAAAAATATTTGTCGCTCAAGTGTTTCTCTTAGGGAGTCATGACCCCCTAAAAAGAAAGGGAGTGAGGGAGGAGAAGCAAAGAACAAGAGGAAGGGCAGGCACGCTCGAGGAATTGCCGCAGGAGAGGGCAGCAAGGTCCTGGCCGAGTCCGACAGCGGGCGTTCTGGAGTGGCAGGAGTTCTGGCCAATAGTGGGCCCCGGCCCCGCCCCAGGTGCCCTTGCCCGGCTCCTATTGGCTCGGCTGCGGACGTCCGGAGCACCCAAGGCTCTCATTGGCCGCTAGGGCCCGCCTCTCCGAGCCGCCTAGCTCTGAGCGCTGCGGCTGAATCCCGGCGTCCTCTGTACGTGAGTGTCGGGGACGCGGAGGCAGTGAAACGCTTTGTCGCAGACGCCGCAGGATGGTAACCGGGAGTCAGGACATACTAGACTAGCCGTTCTGGCCTGGTCACGATTTTCGGCAGCCGGGGGTGTCCCATCGCATGGGCTCACATCGCTGCCCTGCCGTCTGTCAGGGAGACTTGGGGTCATTCAACTTCCCAGGCCTGTTTGCTCCTTCCGAGACAGGGAAACTGAAGCACTCCATAAAGTCTGCTTTTTGTTCCTTTTCTAATTCCATTCTTGCTGGGACGTGCACCCCCCATTTTACACATGCTTCATCATGCAGATAGTGTGTCCTCCTTGTAAGGGTTAGGAATTGGTTTCATTAGAACAGGTAACATCTAAGAAGGAGCAGAAAATGACCTGCGGAAGTTATCAGCTGCGCATTCCCGACCCCTGGCGCTGGACTGCTCCAGGCCAAGACCCCCGGCTCTAAGGGATACCACCTGCGCCCTCGCCGTCGTTGCAACGGTTCCCGGACGCCTGGGAGGACCGTGCACCAGAGCACAGTCCTCAATAAAAACCCCAGACCCCAAGCAAAGACGAGAGCTCTCTTCTCCGGAGTTTCCCAGACACTCTGTACCGGCACCCTCTCTCTACCTTCAATAAAGTCGGCTGTCACCTCCTGCTGGCTTGAGTTTGATTTCTAGATTGCACGGAGGCAGGGACCCTCTTGGCTTGTTCCTCTCCGGGCCTGTAGGCATTACTTACACGCGAAAATGCGGCCCGCGCAAATGCCTACCTCAGGGGACTGGGATCCAGTAGACACTCGGCAAATGTGGGCTTTTTTTTTTTTTTTTAAGATTTTTTATTTATTCATGATAGAGAGAGGCAGGCAGAGGGAGAAGCGGGCTCCACGCAGGGAGCCCGAGGCGAGACTCGATCCTGGGTCCCTAGGATCACTCCCTGGGCCAAAGGCAGGCGCTAAACCGCTGAGCCACCCAGGGATCCCCCAAATGTGGGCCCTTTAATTGGGCACCCACGTGGCAGGCAGGGCAGACTTTTCTGTTCCCCCCCAAAATCTAGCCTCGGGGTGTTTGGTAGGTCGGGGCCTCTCCCAGGGTCCAGCTGTGGGACTCTGATTAACTTTCCAGGAAAAGTAGTTGTAGGGGAAAACAGGACTGTAAAGGAAAAGGGAGGTTCCTACTATTCACTGCTGTAGTCTTCCCTGAAAAGAAGATAGAAAGCCAGGCGGGTCACCCACCTGAGCTCAAATAAATGTTCCTGATGGTTAGGGGGGATATGGAGAAACTAGTGCCAGTACTTCTAGGCGCGCTTTCACTGTTGTGTTCCTCATGGATTTTTTTTTTTTTCCTCTAGAGGCAAAAAAGTTAAGCCAACTCAAAATACCTAACAAAAGCACAATGTCTCCATTTTCCTTCAGCATTTAATCTTTTTGAACTATGCACAAGAAGTGCCACTTCGCTGTTGGATGATTTGGAGGAGACCGAGCCATGGAGTCTGTGTATACAGTACTGTGAAGGGATATACCTATCTTGTTTGAATTGCAAGCACAACCTTAAAGATGGTAATGAGGATTGTACTCTACTCAAAAGCCACTTTATTAAAAAGCAAAAAAAAAAAAAAATTCAAAAATTTTATTTATTCATGACAGAGAGAGAGGGAGAGGCAGGCTCCATGCAGGGAGCTGGATGTGGGACTCAATCCTGACACTCTAGGATCACCCCCTGAGCCAAAGGCGGATGCCCAACTGCTGAGCCACCCAGGTGTCCCCAAAACAAAACTTTTTAATGGCAATATTTGAAGAAGGAAGAAATTTACTTTTGTTTCCAAATTTGTCCTCAGCCTTCTTTAACACATCTCAGTATTGAGTCCTACCTCTCCAGTATGACATTTAACTTGAATAAAACATGATTTAATTTGGGGCGTCTGGGTGGCTCAGTTGGTTAAGCATCAGTCTCTAGCTCCGGTCATGATCCTGGGGGCCTGGGATTCCCTGTTCAACAGGGAGCCTGCTTCTCCCTCTCCCTTTGCCTTCCACTCCCCCTGCTTCTACTCTCTCTCAAATAAATAAAATCTTTTAAAAAAATGATTTAATTCAATTCACTGATGGAATTCTAATGTGTAGCAATTAAGTTACATCGTATTTAGAGAGTGTTCTGGTTCCTTCTTCAGAAACAAAGAAAACATTAAAGCTTGTAAAATTTCAGGATATAGTATTTCAGGCACATATTCCTAATGCAGGTTTTTATTAATTTGCAATTTTGTGTGAATTCCCAGAATGCAATACCCATAATCAAATAAAATCCAAATGCATCCCAAAGTAAAACTGGACTAGTTTAAAACTACCAATAATTTAGTGTCATTATTTATCCTAATAAGAACTTTAAATAAGGGAACATATACAGTATCTTGACATTTCACAAAAGCTAATATGTTCCTAAAGTTGAGAACCAGTAAACTGGATGGTCAAATGGTCTGAATGTCCCTCACGGCATCTATATGAGGATGACAGAGGGAAACCTGGAGTAGGAGACCTATTTTGCACAAAAACACCGGGAAGATTTTAAAAAATACTTTGTCCAAGCCCCATCTGCCAAAGATTGTGATTTGCCTAGGCATCCGCATTTTTTAAACCTCTGCAAGTGATTCCAATGTGCAGCCAAGGCTGGAACTATGGTCTAGGCAGAAATGTTCCATTTCCTCTGAATAAAAAGAAGTTACTCTTTAATGAAGAAATTAAGCATTTGTAAATAATACCAACAAGGAATTAAAAGATTTTTCCCAATGGGAAAATCAAGACACTATATAAGGAATTCATGTATTTAGAAATCTGGAAGAGCAAAGCAAAGTATAATACATTCTTAGATGTATTTTATAAGCTGTATTCCATTTGTAATGGAGTAATGCCTGTAAATGATCTAATCAAGACCAAAGGAAGAGGTGACTGACATCATCGTGGTCACGGATTTCCAATTTAAAGGTGGTAAGTTTCCAATGGCTTTTGAAACGGGAGTGAAAAAAAGAAAAAGAAAAAAAAAACGGGAGTGAAAAAAAAACAAAAAGAGATGGAGGAGAAAAGTGTTTATCATGCTATTTTAGTATTTAAAAGCCTTGAAAAGTTAAGAGGCCCTTGGCTTCTCTGGTGTGTGGTTATTGCTTATTAACATATTTGACCTATTATCGGCATGAATACAAATTCTGCAGGGAAAAGACTAACATGTTAGAAGATGAAGTTTATAGATCCTCTGTGGTTTCATTTTTCTGATCTATTCATGGCTCCATTAGCATGAATAGTTAAGAAACTCCTAAATCAAAATAAAATATTAATTATACTCCACAATATATATAGCTGCTGGCTATTAAATGTTGTTTAAGTGCTGTTTCTGTGATAACCTCAATTTTACCATTAAAACTCTTATAATTAAAGTCACATCCTTTACATAATATTTATTCTGTATAGGATTTACTCACATACAATGACGTCAACTTTAAGACAATTGACTATTATTTGTATAAAGGCATCTTATAAAATAGGGTAATACACAATGCACCTCAGTGAATTAAGCTGATATGCTAGGATTCAGAAAATATGATCATTCTAATTCCTATTTTTGCCATTTTTTCATTGGGTTGCCTTAGGGAGGTTGCTTTACCATTCTGTGCCTCAATTTCTTTACCTTTCATGTGAGATAACTGTCCTATTTCATAGATATGTAAAGAGTAACATAAAAATTATTAAATACTTTGCAAATATAAAATGCTATATAAGTGATAAATAGTAATACTGATCCACTTTAATATAACATAACATAGAACTTTCCATTTATAATCTAGTTTGGTCCTCCAACACCTATTATCACCCTTGCCAGTTAAATACATCTTACACTATATTGCTTTTAGTGATTTTTCCATAGTATGACATTTCCACAGTATTACTTAATTTAGGAGATTATACATATATATCTCCAATAGTGGAAATTTCAATATATCTTAGCCTCACTTTGCACAGTAACTCTAATGAATTCAATTCTGAGCTCCTAATTGACACACCAAACTTTCTTCATCCATTAAGCAGTTGAAACATTTGTTTTTCAAAAGTTTTGAGACATGGTAACTATAGAAGGAACATTGTACAGACCAAGGATGTGATCTGTTGCTCTATGTGACCCTCTGATTACCAGCCTGTAAGCACAGTGAGTAATAGAGGTAATGAAGTGAGACCCCCAATGCTCAACGGGAATTCAAAAAGCTCCCCAGTTCCAAGGTTTTGAGTGCTGCACTCCTGAGCTCTGCAGGAGTGTCTGGTGAAAGGCTCATAGGGGGTAATAACAAGAGTACCTCTGATTTTAGAGTTTCTCCCTTAAATGGTGAGCTTCTCTACAATTCATTTGAAGAAAGAGTTTCTTGGTTCAAAAAGAAAAAAATCTCTTAAACCACTGATCTACTCCATTTTGCTTCCTCCAGCCACTAGGCATGACTACAATGTTGCTTTATTTTGTAAAACTTTTTCCCATCACCACACCCTCTTGAGGACCACAGAGTTAGAAGGGTTTTCAGAAGCCGATAAACAGCATTTACTATTAAGAGCAAACTTTGTTCTGACCAACTCCCACTATCTTGCTAATATTAAAAAAAAAAATCCTTGGCATAAATAAAGCTTATCGTAACAGATTATATCTTATCCCCCTATTTAACATTTCCCCATATTTAAAAGCCAAAGAATTTTTTGTTTTTTTGGAAACCATTAGTGGACAGTCTCACTCTAGGAAATAATTGGTCTCTAATGTCTTAGATACATATGATAACGGGTTATTATTTACAACTTACAAACATGTCACAAAGGTTCTTTTATGATATGAAAATGGTAGAACAGATATGCTGTCTAGTTTGATGAACTTGATAGCTGTTTTGTGGGGAATAGCTTGTTTGTTATAAACAATGAGGAAGCATTATTTCAGGTAACTGTACAGGTGCTGGTGGCACTGTGTTCAGTGGACTTTGCTGACATTCATGCTGATGTTTGCATGCAGAAGCATAAGAGAACATTTAGATACAGACTAAAGTGCGTTAGAGCATACACATGCAAGCACTACTTCATTCTCATGAATAAAGCTCCAATCACTCATTTTTCCTATTGGCTCCATGGACTAAAATTCATGTAATAATTTTAAAAGATGTTACCATCTGGCGAGACTAAAGAACAACACGTGTTCCCTCCCTTATTTGGATATGACTTAATTGTTAAGACTCTTGATTCAGGAACAGTCATGCTGGGAGAACAATGAACTTGGTTCATACCATCCAGTCTTGAAGCAACTGGAAATTTACCATCAGGGGAATCTTGAAAAGGTCTCAGCATTAAGTACCATGAAACAAAAACAAACGGTTATTCATCTATTTGTAAAAAATGTTTTAGAAATTAACCATTTTAGTTCTCCAATCAATATTAAGGACAATCATTAATTAAAGAATAAGAGAAAAAAATAAAATGAAAAGTATCATCTTGAGGGATGTCATGATATTTAGAAATACGGTATAATACATGGAGCCTCTATCAAAATTAAATTATATCAAGCCTAACTGTAATAATCTGTAGCAACCCTCAGTAAGGACAGTTCTTCCAGGATTCAGATTTTATCTTCTGAACTAAAATAATGCTTCTCTGATTTAACTGTACTTTTAGAATACTTAATAATTCAAACAGAGGAGGAGTTTATTTAATTTTGAAGATTTTTTAAAAGTAATCTCTACACCCAACTTGGGCTCAAACTTACAACCCCCAAGATCAAGAGTCGCAGCCAGGCGCCCCGTACAGGGAGATAGTTTCAATTCACCTTTGTATCCTAGGAGAAAAGTTTGTTTTGAAAAATTATATAAACAAGATTAAAAAAATGTTTAAAGCATGTAAGAGAGTAACTTGTTCAAAGAGTGTTATAATAACATTTACACATAAATAATCTGACATTAAAAACATGTCAGTAGACTCTGTAGGGACATCACTGCGCACTCTTGGATAACTCTAGTCCAAGTTATTATGTGTTCTTGAAGATTATGAAGTTCCTCCTTCATACTTTCTAATTCTAATAGGCTTTTTTCTAATTACTGCAGATTGGTGAGGTTTGACTTCAATTCTTTGCCACTTCAGAAGATGATATGGAGAGAGGGCTGTTTAAAGTCAAAACCTGTCCATCATCAGTCCCATCACTTAAACTTTCTTATTAATTTCCTCATTTGTAAATTAGAGACAATAATATTTACCTTGCTGATTAGATGAGAAAATGTGTGAGAGTACTTTAGAAATAATATAGAAGAACAATAAATGTTAGAAATTAGTCTCAAGAACTAGTAACCTCCAATTTTCTTGTTTATCATTTTTTGGCTTTTTTGCTGTTTGTTTTTCCTTTAGAGAGAATTAATTATATTGACAGATCTTCACAAACTGCCTTGACTTTTAGGCAGTACTTGTTTCCTGCTTTAGAAGATGATGTCCATATGTAATCTGCCATCTGCCACTACATTAGGTTTTTGTGTGTGTGTGTTTTAAAACAATACTGACTAGAAAAGAGTCATCTTTAACTTAATGACAAAAAAAAAATCAAACTATGAATGGTTTCAAATATTTTTAGATTTGTCACCTACCATAATCCTAAAACAATATCTAGGATATTGGGATACTGAAAGGTGGTTTTAGAACTGAAATTAATAGAAAGACTTATTAATTAGTTCAGTCAGGTAGGGTGCCAGACCCTTAAATGTGCTCTTACCTGGTTCCCTGTGAAAATTCAGTATTGGTAGTTTGTGTTTTTGGAACACCTTGAAATTATCTTACATAAAGTTTGGTTGTGGTAAATTTATTTAAAATATTTTCTTTGAGAAACATTTGCTAAGTAGATCGTTCAATATTAAAAGAAAAAAGGTAACTCTGTAATAAAAGGAAGAGGATTAACCGTTCATCCATCATGCCAACTTAAGCTAGGTCTTTCTTTCCAGTGCAGCAACATATTTTAGGGCAACAAAGTTCAGAATGGATAAAATGACCTGTTTAGAAAGCATGCAAGTTATATTAGGTCATTACCGTTAAATGAGTCTGATAAGTTTGTGAACCAGACTCTGACCACGGAAAGAGAAAGATACAGGAAGTCAGTGTAAGTTGCAGACATGCCAGCTCTGTTGGTTCATATGTCAGCTACCTAATATTGGGCTTTATTTCCTTCTCATCTTCTTCTTCACTATCATCAACTTGTTGTATGACCAGATCTGCAGACCCATCCTCTACAATCTCCACGTATGATCTATTCTCGTCTTCACTCAAGTGCCACCTGGAATCCTTATCTCCATCTGATGGGGACATAAGATGCTGTTCAGCTTCCAAATCGATGGGGAGGCTGTCTATGCCCACTTCAGCAAGGCACTCATTACAGAGTCTGTAGCGCCTGGTTCCTTCCTGGACCACTTGCCCTGTTAGATCGGTCACATGGCGTTTGCATTTTCTGCAGATTAATTTGCATGCCTGGTGAATCTGTGTAGAGATTGAGACAGTGATAAAAATGGATTTTTCAAAAGCAGCACAGTTGGATATCTAGGTACCAGTTTATAAACTTAAGATGTCCAAAGCCAAGCACTAATATTAAGTTAACATCTAATTATTAGAAAAAGATCACAGGTTTTGGTGATAAATCTACATCACAAATAAGTAACACCTTTCTCTAAATGATGGCTGTAACATTTTTATGATTAATAAAACATATTAATGTCACACATCCCTTAATCCAACAGTATTTTGATATCTGAGGTAACAAGGGACACCTTCTCAGAATAATAATAATTGCAAATACTAAGTTTATCACATGTACTATTTTAAGGACTTTGTATACCTTAATTTTGAGAAGGGAGAAACCTCATTTCGTATGTTAGTTTATTGTTATCAGCTAGAGAAAGAAAAATATTTTGTCCCAAATTTAAATTTATCAAAACATATTTTTGGATAGAAGGCTTACTTGTCACTTCTATTAATGAACTATCTTGTGGAAAGAGGACTAGACTAGTAACAGGAAGGCTTGGGTTCTAGCCCTGCTTTTGTCATCTACTAGCCATGTACCTTGAAGCAAGTAGTTGAAAACAATATAAACCTGCTTCCAGGGTGGTAGTCAAAATATTTAACAATTAGTAAGGTATGGACACCACTGAAACAGAATAGAAGCCTGACAATCAAAATGGACATTGGTCATGACAACAAGTGTGGTGGTTCTGCTATGTATCAGCCTATTATTATCCCTGCCTACTTCCTTATTACTAATGAGAATACAAAAAAAAAAAAAAAAAAAGAGGGAGAGAGAGAGAGAATACAACTCGGGTTGTGAGGACCAAATGAGTTAATGTGTGTGAAGTGCTTTGGAAAAAAATTGTAACTGATGAATAATTACATAATTATAGTTACTAATAAACAACTTTAATTGCTGTCAGAGCAGACTATGGGTTGTACTCTAAAAGCCATTACAATTAATTTTATAATGTCAAAATAATATTTATGGCATATTCATTTAGATAAAATCAGAACAGTATGGAAGTAGCCACAAAAAAACAAAACAAAACAAACCCAAGTAGCCACCAAAACAAAAACAAAAACAAAAACAAACTAATGCATGTAGTCTCGTAAAACATCTAGGAAAATGTATGAGACTACAATTTAGTATAGTAATTTTCTGCTTAACTGTTGACATGTTAATCAGTAAACAACTTGAATGTCCTCTCATTGTTCCCCAGATAGTAATGTTATGGGTTATAATATGTGATAGTTTTTGTTAGAAAGTTCTGGCACAGATTTGTGTTTATCCCCATCCCATCAATTCCAATACAAATATGCAATCAAAGAAATTAAGCAACACACTATGTTAAAATTGAAAATGTCATCACAAACTCATTATTTAGAAAATATATATCTTCTACCTCTAACCATTGAATAACCTAAGAGGAATGACACCTTAGCAATAGTGAGCACCCCAGGTATCCAAAATTTGGTTTCTAATTTCACTCCCCATTAAAAGGAAAGAAGTTGCCCTTTGAGAAACAGCTGATTCCAGTTTTGTGATAGGGAAAATACAAGGTGAGCCTACAGAAATTTGGGGGCCAGAGAATAAGGCTATGTTGAATATTTAACGAAGTTATGACAAAGGGAGACAAGAACCAACTTCAAATTATCCTCACTGAACAAAACTGAAAATCTGAGTTCCTTTTTTTTTTTAAGATTATTTATTTATTTATTCATAGAGACACACACAGAGAGAGAGAGAGAGAGAGAGAGGCAGAGACACAGGCAGAGGGAGAAGCAGGCTCCATGCAGAAAGCCTGATGTGGGACTCGATCCAGGGTCTCCAGGATCATGCCCTAGGCTGCAGGCGGTGCTAAACCGCTGCACCACTGGGGCTGCCCCAAATCTGAGTTCCTAAAAGAGTAATAATTGTTATAGATCAAACACAATGAACCAGTGAAAATTCATGAGTCTGTATGCTACTTAAAAAATACAAAGCCAGAAAAAAATCATATTACCATTTAAAACTGCTATTAAATCAACTATTTTGATAATCGATAAAGGGAAAGAATTAAATATTTATCCTGTTTCTCCTGTAGTAACTGTATTTCAAAGTAACTGAATAGTCCCAAGTGATAGAAGATAGTTTTGTTTTGTTTTAAAGATTTTATTTATCTATTCATGAAACACACACACACAGAGAGAGAGAGAGAGAGAGAGAGAGAGAGAGAGAGAGGCAGAAACACAGGCAGAAGAAGAACCAGCTCCATGAGGGAGCCCCACACGGGACTCAATCCTGGGTCTCCAGGATCACGCTCTGAGCCAAAGGCAGGCACTAAATTGCTGAGCCACCTGGGCTGTCCAGAAGATAGTTTTACTTTATAGAATTCTAACTAATAATATAGAAGAAATGATAAAATTAGTAAATCATTCTACAACCCAAGTAAAATCAGTAATTTGGACAGAGTTTATCAACTGATAATTAATACCATAAAATGAACAGTTGATGGGGAAATATATAGTCACATATGTAATACCAAAATAGTTCCACAGATTCCTTTCTGATCATAAGGTGGCACCTAAAACTGGATAATGGTGGGATCACAGTATCATTACCCTAGTTTAGTGACCAATCTGCCTCCATTAAGCCTTTAGATAAAATACCTGGTTTCTAGAAAATGCAGGGGCGGGGAGGTATAGAGGAACAAGCTAAATGACACCAAAGAAAGCAAGCAGAGAAATCGAGAAGTAGAGTATTTTGTAAAACAATTGTCTTGATATCTTCAGTAAGTCAGTGTTATGGAAATAAAAAGAGGGCTGGGAGACTATGCTCTCTTAAAAACATATTTAAGGGACTTAACAGTGAGGTGTAATAAAGGATACTGCATTGAATATTGGTTTGGACAAACCAGTTATAAAAGATATTGGGGGATTACAGGGAAACTTGAAATTGAACTGGATGTTAGATAAAATTTTATTGAGATGGAAAGGTAGAGACTGTTCACTAAAGAGAGGAGGCACAAACAATATGATTTAATTTGGTTTTATCTATCTATCTATCTATCTATCTATCTATCTATCTATCTATCTATCTATGCATGAGAGACATAGAGAGAGAGGTAGAGACACAGGCAGAGAGAGAAGCAGGCTCCACGCAAAGAGCCCGACATGGGATGCCATCCCGGGTCTCCAGGATCCCACCCTGGGCTGAAGGCAGCGCTAAACCTCTGAGCCACCCGGGCTGCCCTCTAATTTTTTTTTTTTTAAGATTTTATTTATTTATTCATGAGACACACACAGAGAGAGAGGCTGAGCCACAGGCAGAGGGAGAAGCAGGCTCCATGTAGGGAGCTCGACGTGGGACTGGGCCGAAGGCGGCGCTAAACCACTGAGCCACTCGGGCTGCCCTCTAATTTGGTTTAAAAAAAAATCCATATATATGCATGTGACAGAATTTTAAGAATGGTAGTCTTTGGGTGGTGAAAATAAAGTACTTTTATTTTCTTATTTTTAGTTTTTATAATGCATATTCATTGCTTCCATAATAATAAAAGTTTTTTTTTTTCAATTAAAAAAATAGCTTCATTAGGTTAATGAAGGCAGAGATTTTGTCTGTTTTGCTCACTGCTGGATACCTAGCACTGAGAAAAGGAGCTGGCACATAGATGCTCAGTATATATTTGCTAAATAGCTAACTATAAAGCAATGCATGAAGAAATCACCTTCACTGGAGAAGGTGAATCATGTACACCTTCACTGAAGAAGGTGATTTCTGTTCTTCTTCAGTGACCCACTGTCCTTTAAAGTTAAAAGTGCTGATATAAATGGAATAGATGTATAAGTAATAGAACACAGATTTCAGAAAACATTCTTGTCTCAAGATGAACAGTAGAGTAATTCCAAAAGTCCTTACCTTAGTAGCCCATCAGAGCACTGAACAGCAAATTCCCTGAGATTTTTCTGACTGCTGACAGTCCGATTCCTGGAATGGGCTCTATGGGCCACCTTGCTCCCTTTCTTGAGGAGACTATAGATAGGACTAGAAATAGGGTAATGTGGACAGAGGATGGAAAGTGGAAACTGGACAGAGATCCTACCAGATAAGCAATCAAGAATCACTAGTAGAAAAAAAAAATCACTAGTAGATGCCGAGTATCTGAAGTGGTGACTCTAACCTAGAGATTCAGTTTCTTTTTCTTTTTTAAGATTTTATTTATTTACTCATGAGAAACACACACAGAGAGAGAGAGAGAGAGAGAGAGAGAGAGGCAGAGACACAGGCAGAGGGAGAAGCAGGCTCCATGCAGGGAGCCCGACATGAGACTAGATCCCGGGTCTCCAGGATCACGCCCTGGGCTAAAGGTGGCGCTAAACCGCTGAGCCACCAGGGCTGCCCGAGATTCAGGTATCTTTATCTTACATTGTCTTTGGCTCTTGAAAAGACCAGTATATAAAAATATGTTCAATTTTAAATTAATTACAATGGATATTTTTTAAAATTTTTAAATAAAATGGATATTCAAAAGAGTATCACCTAATTCAAGGCTTCAAAGGTGAATAAAAAGTATATATATATATATATATATATATATGTATTAAAGTATAAATTATGTACAAAGTAAAACCATTAAGTTGGAAGAAATTCTAATATGGTAGAGTTGTATGAAAAGATTTCTCTCAGTAAATTAGATGATCTGAAAGCATATAAATGCACACATTTCTTAAGAAGTAAAATGATGAGAAATCATGTACATACTGTTCGAAAATGGCTACTGAGGTGGTCTAGCCTGCTAAATCTTTTCCCACAGGCTTGACATGGATAGGGCCTTTCTCCTGTATGGCAGCGAAGGTGGCGCTTGAGGTCTGCCTTTCGCTTCACCACGTGTGTGCAGTATGGGCACTTGAACCGCATCCTGGGCAGATCATCTGTCAGGAGATAGTTCGATTAAATCACTGGATAGTTCATCATTACAACTTTATTTATTTATTTATTTATTTATTTATTTATTTATTTATTTATTTATTTATAAGTATTTTATCTATTTATTTGAGAGAGAGAATGAGCTGGGAGAGGGGCAGAGGGACAAGAAGACTCCCTGCTGAGCAGAAAGCCTGATGCAGGACTGGATCCTTGGACCCTGGGATCATGACCTGAGCTAAAGGCAGCCGCTTAACTGACTGAGCCACCCAAGCGTCCTATTTATTTATTTATGTTTAATATTTTATTTATTTATTTGACAGAGAGAGAGAGAGAGAGAGCACAAGTAGGGGGAGAAGCAAACTCCCTGCTGAGCAGGGAGCCCGAGGAGGAATTAGATCCTAGGACCCCAAGATCATGACTCGAGCTGAAGGCTCACCCTTAGTGACTGAGCCACCAGGTGCCCCCAATCATAACAATTCTAGTAACATAAAGAATCCCAAAGGATTTGGTGAGTCCAATTTTGGAAAGGCAGGAGAAAAAGAGACGGAAGAAATTTTATTAAGACTCAATTGTTCATGCAATCCTGGCCAGAACTGTAACTGCAGCATTTGATACATTTACAAATTGGGGTAAATTTCGACTCTCCGGATCCCTGGGTGGCTCAGCGGTTTAGTGCTGCCTTCGGCCCAGGGCACAATCCTGGAGTCCTGGGATCGAGTCCCACATGGGGCTCCCTGCATGGAACCTGCTTCTCCCTCTGCCTGTGTCTCTGCCTCTCTATCTCTGCGTCTCTCATGAATAAATAAATAAAATCTTAAAAAAAAAAAAGATAAAAACACATGATGGCTATTAGCTTAAGAAAAAAATTTCAACTTTTGCACTCACCTTGTCATTCAGTGTTGCAGAGTCACTGGATTTGAAACGTAAAAAGGCAGTGCTGGATTTTAAAACTGGAGATACAGAAAAACCCCACAAAAACAAAAACTAAAGAACTGTTGGTACAATACAAAAGTATTTCATATTATAGCTTTTAAGTAATTTGTTTTATTACATATTTGTATCTCCTTGCCTTTTCTTTTCATATACTCATAATACTTTTAAAGGTGAAAAAATGTCAAATATATTTAATTTTTTATTTTAAAACTCAAGTATTCAAGGGGTGCCCGGCTGGCTCAGTTATTAGAGCCCGTGACTCATGATCTCGGGGCTGTGAATTTGAGCCCCATGTTGGGTGCACAGATTACTAAAATATACATATAAACTTTAAAAAATAAATAAAACTCATGTATTCAAGATGTTAGTTATGAGTGGAGGCAAACTTCATCAATTTAATAGCTGTTAAATTCAGCTGTTCATTATTGAAATTAGGTTCACATAACCTAGAATTACAAAAGCACAGAGCCCATCTAGAGAAAAGATGACTCTTTTGCTGTTTAAAAATGCAACGGAGATTTCTTACTTTTGCTTTGCTTTTTTCTGTATGCTTTGGTCAATGGTGAGAACTCAGCGGGACTTTCAATAAGCTCTATAACAGGATACAATTTCATGCATTCCCAGGTTATTACTACAGGAAGATGCAATTAATAAAGATCCAGCTGGTTGCCTATTATTTTAAAATATGTTACCTACAACGAACTTATTTTTAAAAATTTATGTGACAACTCAGGAATGTGAATAGATTGGCTATTTACTGATGTTAAGGAACTCTTAATTTTGTTTAGGTATAATTATGGTATTGTAGGTTTTTTTTTTAAGACACCTTTTTAAATTTTTTTTTTAATTTTTTTTTTAAGTAGGCTACAATGCCCAATGGGACTTGAATTCACAGCCCTGGGATCAAGAGTCACATGTCTCAGTTTTGTTTTGTTTTTTAGGGGAGGGGAGGGGCAGAGAGAGGGACAGATTTTTTTTTTTAAGATTTATTTATTTATTAATGAGAGACACACACACAGAGAGAGAGAAAAGAGAGAGAGAGAGAGAGAGAGAGAGGCAGAGACACAGACAGAGGGGGAAGCAGGCTCCACACAGGGAGCCCGAAGTGGGACTCGATCCCAGGTCTCCAGGATTGCGTCTGGGCCGAAGGCGGCGCTAAACCGCTGAGCCACCTGGGCTACCCGAGCATCTTAAGCAGGCTCCATGCCTACCATGGAGTCAGACAGGGTTTGATCTCACAACCCTGAGATCATGACCTGAGCTGAAATCAAGAGTTGGATGCCTGGGTCACCCAGGCACCATCACTTTTTTTAAAGACTACATTTTAGGGACACATTTTGAAATATTTACAGATGAAAACTTACGATGTCTGGTATTTGCTTAAAAATAATAAAGAGAGGAGTAAGAAGTAATGTTACTGATGAAACAAGATTGGCATGTATAGGAAGTTGTTCAAACTGGGTAAGGGGTACCTGGAGGTGAATTATACTATTCTCTTTCCTTTTGTGTATGTTTGAAATTTTCCTAAAATAAAAACAATCTTAAAAGTATAATTTGAATTTTATAATCTGTGGCAGTTTCATCTTATAATTCTCCTTTAAATTCACATGTAAAGTACTAAGCAAGTTTGCTACCTGATTAATTGGGGCAGAACTGTATGACATGCATTTCTTCTTTTTTTTAAGGATTTAAAAAAAATTATTTATCTTGAGAGAGAGTGTGTGAGCAGCACTGGGAGGGGCAGAGAGAGGAAGAGAGAGATTCTCAAGCAAACTCCATGCTGAGTGCAGAGTCTGATGCATGGGTCAATCCCACAACTGTGGATCATGGCCTGAGCCAAAACTGAGTTGGACAATTAATGGACTGCGCCACCCAGGTACTCCTGGTAAAGCATGCATTTCTAATTCCTGTTCTCTACGACAGTCTTATGACAGTGTGGGGTGTACTGCTGAAACCAACAACCTATATAATCTTTCTACATTTCACTACTATCATAAAAATGAAATATCTCAGGTTGTTGCACATAGGATTACCAGGTCAATGTTATGGGCTGTGTGTTAAGTGTTTTTTTTAATTATGTATTTATTTTATATATTTTTTAAGATTTTATTTATTTATTGATGAGAGACATAGAGAGAGGCAGAGACACAGGCAGAGGAAGAAGCAGGCTCCATGTAGGGAGCCCAACACGGGACTCAATCCTGGGTCTCCAGGATCAGGCCCTGGGCTAAAGGTGGCGCTAAACCACTGAGCCACCTGGGCTGCCCTAAATTATGTATTTATATCTCAATAAAATCAGATATAGTCTCATTTCTTTTAGGTCTTAGGCCTGTGAACCTTTGTAAATATGCATGGTTACTCTGTTTAACTTTTCTGTATAAAAATACTCCTCCTGAGGGAATACTGAGAAAAAAATACAATGGAAAATGAAAATATGCATCTTAGGGATTGAACCATTTAGAAAGAGCTATAGGAGATCCCTGGGTAGCTCAGCGGTTTAGTACCAGCCTTTGGCCCAGGGCACGATCCTGGAGTCCTGGGATCCAGTCCCGCGTCGGGCTCCCGGCATGGAGCCCACTTCTCCCTCCTCCTGTGTCTCTGCCACTCTCACTCTCTCTCTCTCTCTCTCTCTCTCTATCATAAATAAATAAATAAATAAATAAATAAATAAATAAATAAATAAATAAATGTTTTTTTAAAAAAGCTATAAAGGCTTAACAGTAATCTAATCATCTGCTGGCACAAGTTTGGAAAATCTTGGGCTTTGAAATTCAGAACTCTATTGTTTTGACTGTTATTAAATTTATCCTTTTTTTTTTTTTTTTTAAATAGGCTCCATTCCCAGTGTGGGGCTTGAACTCATGATTCTATGATCAAGAGTTGTATGTTCTACCAACTGAGCCAGTCAGGTACCCCTAACCAATATTTTCTTTTTTTTAAGATTTTATTTATTTATTCATGAGAGATAGAAAAAGAGAGAGGCAGAGACATAGGCAGAGGGAGAAGCAGGCTCCATGCAGGGAGCCCGATGTGGGACTCGATCCCGGGTCTCTAGGATCAGGCCCTGGGCTGAAGGCGGAGCTAAACCACTGAGCCACCCCGGCTGCCCTCCCCTAGCCAATATTATTTTTAATTAGAAATTTAAATTTGGGGAACCCTGGGTGTCTCAGCAGTTTAGCTCCTGCCTTTGGTTCAGGGCGTGATCCTGGAGTCCTGGGATCGAGTCCCACGTTGGGCTTCCTGAATAGAGCCTGCTTCTCCCTCCCTCTCTCTCTCTCTCTCTCTCTCTCTCTCTCTCTCTCTCTCTCTCATAAATAAATAAATAATCTTAAAAAAAAGAAATTTATTATTTTTTTAAAGAAATTTAAATTTATGTTTTAGGAAATAAACTTCATTAGAGGACTATAACTTTTTAAAAAATCACTTGGTTCAACTGCCCATAACACTTCAAAGTAAGGACATGTTGAGATAAGACTGATTTATATAGGAGCCTTAGAACCTCACTGAGGGGACTGTTTTTAGATACCTGGAAAGCTTCTGGATGTGACATCAGATCCTGGACCATATGGATAGCCAACAGGAGTTGAGTCCATATCAGCATCAATTTGTGCTTGTTCTTCAGATTGGGAAATGTGGCTGGAAGAATCTGATGCTCGTGCTTCTCGTTTGCTTGGCTTATAATGAGCAACTTCAGAAGGCTGTGACAACCTCAAATGTTTGGACTTTTTGATGGAATCTTTCCTTTGTTCATGCTTGGCCAAAGGCTGTTGAGTATTCCTTTGGGGGCTGGGTGGTAATTATACTTACTCCAAGATTTTCCACTTATTATACCTGTCCCTTGATCCGAGCTTAGGTGAGAATGTGGAGAACTGCCTTCTTCTTGCCAGCCACTACTATAAAAGGAGGAACGTTCTATACCATTAGAATTGACATCTTTATCAGAGAGACTGAAATAGCGATCTTTTTCTTTCTCACTAATGTCTAGTGAAGATTTAATAAAGGTCTTACATACACTAATGACATCAGTCATCTGAAGGAAGCTAGCAGCTGACATCACTTCTATGACGTTCTGACCAGTAAGAGAGAGTTTGCCGGAATAGACAAAGTCCAGGATAACCGTAAAAGTGTCCGGGGAGAAAGCCTGAAATGTAGCCGTGGTTGGCTGACTTGTCTCCTTCGAATTCTGAGAAAGGAGCATTTTGAAGTAGCCACTGCTAGCGAATAGTACATTTCGATGTGCTTTGAAGACCTTCCCTTCAACCAGAATGCTGCAATCACAAAAGACATCTTGCCTGCGTTGCTCATTCAGTTGTTGCAGGAGGTGGGACTGGTGAGAGGAGATCTCCATTCTGGAGAGGAAAAGACATGTGGTTACCAACCCGAAATGACACGGCTTTTCCAAGCAGAGTCAACTGAAATGACCATCAGAAACCTTTCTCTTGTTTCCACTAAAACCACTTTCTTAGAGAACATCATCTCCAAGACACAGAAAACCACTTAGTACTGTTATTAATTGTGTGATTTTTCAGACAATGATGTGTTCAGTTATCAAACTTTACTGGACATCTTTTTTTTTAAAGATTTTATTTATTTATTCATGAGAGGCACAGAGAATGAAGCAGAGACACAGGCAGAGGGAGAAGCAGGCTCCCCATGGGGGGCCCGACACAGGACTCAATCCCAGGACTCTGGGATCACAAGCTGAGCCGAAGGCAGACCCTCAACCACTGACCCACCCATGTGCTCCTACTGAGCATCTTCTATGAATCAGGCTTTCTGCTACGTGCTGGACTGAACAGACTTGCTTCCTGCATTCAGGTAGTGTTCAGTCTAGAGGGGCATCAGGCACTCAACACTCACATGAAGTCATAAAGGACTTGTTAATACAAAAAACAGAAAGACGCTGCAGTTGGTATAACAGAAGGGTAGGCCAGCTTAGACTGGGGTGGAGAGGGTTAGGGATACCTCTCTGAGAAGTAACATTTAAACTGGGACATCAAAGGTGAAGGAATTAGCTGGGTGAGGAATGAGGGAAAGACTACAGATTCCAACAAAACGATGATCTAGAAAGGGCTGAAACTCTCCTGCCACAAATTTCTAGAGATGCTGGCTAAAATATAACCGAACGTTTTATTATTTTTTAAAATTTTACTTAGTTAACATACAGTGCAGTAGAGTTTCTGAAGTAGAATTCAGTGCTGCATCACTTACAAACAACACCCAGTGCTCATCATATTGCATGCCCTCCTAATCCCCATCACCCATCCCGCCCATCCCCCACCCACATCCCTCCATCAACCCTGTTTGTTCTCTATTGTTAAGTCTCTTATGGCTTGTTTTTTCTTTTACCCCTTAAAATATAACCAAACTGTGTTTTAAATGTATGGTCTTGTAAGAAAATGAGAAATCCCTAGGTGCCAGCAGTGAAGGAGCAGAGCCAGAGCAGCAATACGGGACTTGGGTTTTCATCAGTAACAAGTTGGAATCCTCTAAAGGCTAAAACCTTAAAGAAGAAAGATAGTAAAAAGAAGAAGAAGAAGAAGAAGAAGAAGAAGAAGAAGAAGAAGAAGAAGAAGAAGAAGAAGAAGAAGAAGAAGAGGAGGAGGAGGAGGAGGAGGAGGAGGAGGAGGAGGAGGAGGAGGAGAAGAAGAAGACGAAGACGAAGAAGAAGAAGAAGAAGAAGAAGAAGAAGAAGAAGAAGAAGAAAGAAGAAAGAAGAAGAAAGTAAACTTTGCCCATAAATCCTGGGAAAAACAAAGTTAATCTTGCGAGGCTTTTGTTGGGAAAATGAAAAAAAATACCTAGGTGAGATATCAAACCCAAGGTTGTGCTTTTTGAAGTTCTGGAATGCAAATTTATTTTACCTGTTTGATGTGGGAAACCTCAAAGTGAAAATTTAATGTGGAAATTAGTCCTGGGCTTCTGTGGGTTCCACAGAAGCAAATGCAAAACTGCTCAGGAGGAGTGCTCTCAGGACCCAAGGCAGGTGGGAAAAAAAAAATCTCTGCTTACACTGAACTTCAAATCATTCCTCTTTATAAAAATGGATCATTTTCAATATCATACCATCATTATGTCTACTATCTTCTAACTTTTAAAAAAATATTTATATATTATTTAAAAGATTTTATTTATTTGACAAAGAGAGAAAGAGCACAAGCAGGGGGAGTAACAGCCCAATGTGGGGGTCGATCCCACAATCAGGGCTCGATCCCACAATCCTGAGATCATGACCTGAGTCAACAGATTAGAAAGAGTTTTGGTTTGTTCTTTTCATTTCCTGTTTGCTTCTCCCGTTCTCTTTCTATCGGTTTCATCCCCATCTATCAAAATCATTTTCAAAAAATATCATTAGTGGAGTGCCTGGGTGGCTCAGTTAAATGTCTGCCTTTGGCTCAGGTCGTGATCCCTGGGTCCTGCTTCTCCTTCTCCCTCTGCTTGCTGCTCCCCCTGCTTATGCTCACGCTCTGTCAAATAAATAAAATCTTAAAAAAAAAAAATCATTAGTAACTTGCATGTGCATGTCAAATCCAACAGTCATTTCTTTGTCTTCATTTTACTGATGCAGTGGGTCATTCTCTTGATCCTAAAACACTTTCTTCACTTGGTGCCAGGACACCACTCCTCCATGTTCTTCTCCCATCGGCTGGCCGTTCCTTCTCAGTCCTTTGCCGGTTTTTCATTTTCCTAAGCTCTAAGTGCTAGGGGATTCATGGTATCCTACCCCAAAATATGGCACCTTAGCACACTGAATATTTTGAACTGAAGAACTTTGAGAAAACAGCAGAAGCAGAAAGGTAACTTTGATACCCCCTCCCTTTCCCCCTATAACTAAAATAACCCCTAACCCTCCTTATACCCAGAGGAAAAGAGCATCCTTATCACAGAAGACAAAGGGACGCTAAAAAGAATCTGAACAAACTGGCTGAGCTGAGCTTCCCTGTTTACTAAATTTATCTCCTACTCCTTAACCTACCTCACTCCACCACGACTGCTGGCGCTTCATTGAACCTAGCATAGAAATATCCTTAGGTCTATTTCTACCTCGGATCTTCATTTCCTTATGAAGGCTTCTGTGTTGTGTAGAACTTATGTTAAGTAAATTTGTATGCATGTCTCATGTCAATTTGTCTTTGTTGGTTTAATTTCCAGACCCAGCCAGGAAGAAGGTCAAGGAAAAATTTTCCTCCCCTATAACTGGAATGCCCCAGGCCTCAGGGCTGGGACCTCTTCTCTACTTACACCATTCCCTAGGTGAGTCCATCTAGTCTCATAGTTTCAAATACCATCTTTGAGCTTATGACCCACAAAAAAAGCTTCCAAAGGCTCCCATCCAACCTCAAAGTTCTTACGACCTCAAAGGCCCTACATGATGTGCATCCTCCCCATCCAGGTATCTCTCTGCCCTCGTCTCTTCTGCTGGATCCCTCCAACACTGCATTCTAGCTACAAAGACCTCTGCTCATTCCTGAACATTCAAGGCCTGTTCCTACTGTGCAGCCTTTATCCTTGCTACTCCTTCTGCTTGGGAATTCTTCTCCCAGATATTCACATTGCTCACATTCTCACATTTTCAGGTCCCTGTTCAAATGTCACCTTATCAGAGAGCTTTCCTTTACCATCCTATCTAATCACACCCTCCCATTCTTTATTCTCTTATTTGTTTGCTATTTTCTCCTACTAGAATTTAAAGTAGGAGAGCTGAGACTGCCTACTTATGTATTCCCAGCTCCTTGAGCAGCACTTGAGCACATGATAATGCTCAATCAGTATTGTTGAACGTGCATCAAACACATTTTTTTAAAAGATTTTATTTATTTATTCATGAGAGACACAGAGAGAGACAGAGAGGAGAGAAAGGCAGAGGCAAAGGCAGAGGGAGAAGCAGTCTCCATGCAGGGAGCCTGACATGGGACTTGATCCTGGATCTCCAGGATCATGCCCTGGGCTGAAGGCGGCGCTAAACCACTGAGCCACCCAGGCTGCCCTGCATCAAACATATTAAAACATACAAGGACACTGTTGTTGTTGTTGTTGTTGTTTTTGACACTGTTCTTTATAAAGAAGAATCAGCATGTAGAATAGGAGAATCAAAACACCAACAGTTTTAGAAAATAGAATAAAAATCTAATAGACCATGAAGTAAGTATGTTTAAGATGGCCGAAGAGATAAAAGATATAAAGAGTAGCATATGGTTAGGAGTATAAATGCTAGAGCCAGGTAGCTGGATTTGGAATTATGGCTCTACCACTTAATAGCTGTGTGAACCTGGGCAATTTATTTAACTTCTGTATTCATTTCCTTATCTGTAAAATGGAACAAAAAATAGCTCTTATTTCATAGGATTATTGTGAGGACTGAATGAGCTGATGTACACATAGCACTCAAAACTAGATGTTGGGCATGCAAGAAGTACTTCATAAATGTTAGCCATTCTCCTTTTACTTTGTTTTATTATTATCCACAAGAAAAGAAACTAGGGGAGAAAAGAGAAGAGGTAGGTTTGAGGAGGAACCAAATGGACTTAATATATGAAAGATATAATTAGTGAAATTAAAACACTTCATGTTGTAAGATGGCTACCTCATCTCCAGCCTGATGGCCACATTCCTGGCAGGAAGAATTGAAAAGACAAAAGACAATTACCAACCCAGCTTGTCTTCTTTTTTTTTTTTTTTTTAAGATTTTTATTTATTTATTCATGAGAGACACCAAGAGAGAGAGAGAGACAGACAGACAAGGCAGAGAGAGGGAGAAGCGGGCTCCCCCTAGGGAGCCCGATGTGGGACTCGATCCCAGATCCCGAGATCACACCCAAGACAAAGGCAGACGCTCAAACGCTAAGCCACCCAGGCGTCCCTTGTCTTCTTTTTTGATCAGAGGAAAAAGAAAAGTTTTCCTGGATGCCTCACCCAGGGGACTTACACTTGCAACAGAATGACCAGACCATGTTACCTGATATTTAAGTGTCTACTGCCACTAATGGTATGTATCGATTACCACTTCTCATTTTGTCAGTACTTACTATTATTAGGCTTTTTAATTTTGCCAATCTTACAAGTATACAATGGTATATCATTTTTTATTTGTGTGGGTTAAACAATTAATGTCTATTGACCCTGATCAGCAAGTTGCTTGCTCATTACAATGTTGCTAACCAATACTGTACAAAAATGAACTACAAAAAATAATGTGATACAGTAAGTATTTATCTCAAAGCCTGTGGGTTGGCTGATTTAGGCTGGACTTGTTAGGACAGCTCTGCTGATCTTGCCTGGGCCCACTTACATACCTAGGAGTTGGCTGATGGAGGCAGCTTGTCCGGGGTGGTTGTCTTTCTTTTTTTTT